CCTCCCCCGGACTCGCCCAGCGTATCATGTTACAAAATGCTGCTTGGCTATTTTTTCCCCCTTTATACCCCCTCCACACGCTGATACCTCTGACAGGGTGGATTTGTGATTGCCCTGCCAGATCGCATTCGTTGACGGGGTATTTCTCCCTCCCTCCCCCTCCCACCAGTGGGAGTGGGAGGGGGGATGTAAAATTTAAATGTATAGAAAGAACTCGGACAGGGACTACTGTGTTGATCGAGAGGCTATAATAAAGGACCTGTCACCTCCTTGTCGATGAAAAAGGGGGATAAGTTTGGATGGGGATCAGTGACCCGCTGTCTAAGTGCTTTCACCTATTAAAAGAAAAAAAAATAAGAACGAAATTTATGTGGTTTTCTTTTCTGTAAGGGTGTTAAAGAATTGCACCAACATTCATCACCTCAATTGAACATCTTTTCTCACCAAAATTTAGGTGAACTGGGGTTCCCACGTCCATAAACGGTTTTGTCCTCATAATCCTTGTCGCTTGCCTTTCTGTCTCCCTTTATACCCCTGCAACTGCCTAAACGACACCGCAGGTAATCATGTGATTATCTATTGTGAAATGTTGCTAAGGTGCGAGTGGAATTTCATACCGGAAAAATCAAGCAGAGAAGGGCTTCAGGTCTCCATGCCGCAATTTGGAGTCCAGTGCGTGCGTGCGCACAACTGAGGCACCGGGAGCACGGAACGGTAGGGTTGGCAAGGCCATCTCACCTTTCCTGTCCTTTATGTCCTCTTTAACAGCCCTGGGATGAAGAAATGTTAGTACATAAAGTTAATCTTCACATGATATTATCCAATCGGGAGAAAGGGAAGGAGAGCACAGACTGTGGTTAGTGGAACCACCTAGACTGTCCAAATGGGAACCTGGTTTGAGAGGCTGTAAACATCTCCACAGCTTCGTTTAATGCCAAAGCCAAGAAGAGGTGATAGCCGACACCTAGAAAAAATACATGAATCAGAAGAATACTGAGAGTTGGGGTGGAGGGATGAGGATGGTGGCGAATCAGCACCCACCTTCCGCTCATTGTCCACCTCCTCTCGGATGAGTTTGGTGGTAGAAAGTGTGGTGTTTTGCATTGTTTTGGAAGGATTGGACCTTTCTTTACCTAACACACCAATTCTGGCCACTTCATGTTGTGTTGTGCTCCATCGAGGTGATGGATCTGAGACGAAATTGGTGTCCTGCCTTTACAGTCTTCTGAGAATGGAGTATTGTGTGTCTTAGAAATCCGTTGCGATTAATAAGATGGCCGACTAGTTGGTTTGCTTACCTAATTTTGGAATGCAAGAGGGCAAAGTCCACTTTTCACCACAGTTTGGCTGGTGAGTTGACGCCCCTTTCAGAAGCATGCATGAAAGGAGTGATGAACAAAATTGACGATCCTTGAAGCTTATCTCCTCTCGTCTGTTAATGTCCAGTGCAAAGATGGGACCCATTTGTTCAGCTCTGATCACCACCGCCTCCTTTCCCTTTGATGTGGAGCGTAAACGAAATGTTTTATCATTATTGTAAACATTCGCATTCATCACTGTTTATGATACCGTAATCTCGATGTATTGTGATTGGCAACAACACTCATTGTTTCGCCATTGCCAAAGCTAGAGGGTCCTCTCTCCTCATCCGGGGGCAACAACTATCTTGGGGAAGGGGGTAAATTTCAGATTGGTCCTAAAGACTGGATGGTGTTCATCAGCCACAATATTTTGTTATTTAATCACCGCTAGTAGAAAAATTTACAATGTAGAATGAAGGTTTTGCCTCATCGCATCATAACACTAGGCGGTGGATTCACGACACTCTCCAAACGTGGGCACACTCGCCTCAATTTCGCTGCCGTTGCATTACTTGCATTAGTGCCTTGCTCTTTTACTAAAAGTTTCCCTACTGTGATTCCAATCCCGCAAATCTCATCCATTGCTTCTAATTTCCTTCTTTTTCGTGTATTTCTGAATTGCCTCATACCAATATTGTTGTCCTCATAGTTCATAGTACTGAATGAATTTGAGTAGCATTTCCTAACCGTCTTAGTAAGAGACCCTTAATGGTGAAATGCCGTTGAAAAGCTGTCTTTTTTGGCTTTTAGAACAATGTCACAGCACTTCACGTGGCTAGCAAGTGGGGTAATGTGGCTGTAGTTGAACGTCTGTTGGCTTCTGGTGCGGAACTCGAGTGTTTCACTCGTGATGGCTTGACGCCACTTCACTGCGCCTCTCGTTCTGGTCATGCTCAGGTCGTTCAATTACTCCTCAACGCTGGTGCAAATTATTTCGCAAAGACTAGAGTGAGCTTGTGTAATAGACAATGCTTAATCCCAGCGCGATTGGGTTTGTTATCGTCCCTCTTTTTTTCCCATAATTTTAGAGTGGACTCACCGCTCTACACATGGCGGCCCAGGGGGATCATCCAGAGTGTGTGAAGTTGCTGCTCCTACAAGGCGCCAATGTGGATGATGTGACAATTGATAACCTTACGGCCCTTCATGTTTCCGCGCATTGTGGCAGTGTCCGAGTCGCGAAGATACTTCTCGACGCTCACAGCAATCTCAACGCAAGAGCTCGGGTGGGTTACCAATTTTCGTTGAGGCACAAAGTGCCCTCCCTTATCTTGCCAGCTTTTCAAAAGACCTAGCAACGAGGCACCAGAGTAACAAAAGATGTTTCTTCACTCTTGAATTACAGAATGGCTTTACGCCACTTCACATCGCTTGCAAAAAGAATCGAATAAAAGTTGTGGAACTCTTTCTAAAGCACGGCTGTATGGTGGATGTTGCAACAGAGTCCGGCTTAACCCCGCTACATGTTGCCGCTTTCATGGGAAATACCAACATTGTGGTGTTATTGTTAAAACACTCCGCTGATCCAAATGGCCAAACAATGCACAATGAAACGTCCCTTCACTTGGCGTCTCGTGCAGGTCGAATTGAAACAGTCAAGTTGCTTCTTCGAAATGGCGCAATCGTTGACGCCAAATCAAGGGTAACACGCTGCCTTCGCTTGATAATATGAACCCTACGGAAACTTAAGCAGTAGATAGTAAATATTACTTTGCCTACAGGGCAACCAGACGTGTCTACATGTGGCCGCTCTTCTGGGAAACTGTGAACTTATTACTGTCCTTCTGCAAAATGGAGCCAACGTCCAAGCTGTCACCAAAGATGGCCATTCAGCGCTTCATGTTGCCACAAAAGCCGGACATGATGAGGCTGTTTCCCTACTATTGGAGTCTGGAGCACCAACTGATGTATTGACTAAGGTTTGTGTGGAATTCTTTTTGCATCTAAGACATCTATTTGCAGTCGGGATTCACGCCACTGCATCTAGCAGCGAAGTATTCGCGATTGAAACCGGCGCAGTTGCTGATTGAGGCTGGAGCCCAGTTGGATGTGCCGGGCAGGAATGGACTTACGCCGCTTCATTTGGCCTCACATTATGGATCGGTCAGTGTGGTCAAAGCTCTTCTCGACAAAGGGGTGAGTCGTGAACCCGATTAGTTAATTGTAATGTCCAAATTACTCGATTGGCTAATCGTTAGCCTATCACAATTTTTGGCGATTAAACCAATCGGATCGTTACAATGTCTCTACTAGCTGAAATGTGATTGGATTTTCCTCTTAATTAAGAACGATTAAATTGTTTAAAGTGACCAGTAGGCAAGCAACCACAAGAGTTCGAATAAGAGTTTTTTTACTTGAATCTAATGTTGTTTAGTTGAATGCACTGCACAGAATCGATACTGAGTGGCCTTGTCATTCTGACAGCTGTTACCTTCATGGTTATTGATTTTCTTGCGGTGCCCATCATCCTACCCGCACTCGAATCGATTGTGCGGATGGCACGCCACGTCAAGCATGCCAATTAGGAGCCTACTCTGTTCTAGCAGTTAGTTAAGTTGCTCCACAGTATTGACAACTCTATCATGAGTACATGGCTAGAGTACATTCGCGTCCCAGACACTCGTCATCCGAGCTCGACTTCTGTCTGACGTGATTTTAAGGGGAATCTAAAATATGTTGCGTCTTCTTTGAAATTTTTAGCTTCTGCCTTTGGTCTGGCATTGTGCAAATAAAACTATCATCCTCAACATTGTGTTTTAAATGTTTATGATTCGGAACCCATGCTTGTGACAATGGATCCACTGGATGCGTCATCTACTCGTTTGTAGCCTGTAAATATTGCACGAGACTTAACTGATACTTCACTGGCCAAAACATTTATGCTAGATGACTCAAGCATTGCTTCACGATGAAGGGCCAGGAGGCTTTCTTCGTTTTAATTTAGCTTTAGTGAATTTTCAGATTCATTTATCTCGGTTGGATATAGATTTATTCTTTTCAAAGGTTAAATTATAAAAGAAGATAATGTTAGACTTCTATAGATTTAAAGATGGTATTGTGATTGGATGATGCTTGGTGTTGAGTCAAGATCTTGCCTCCTATTCGCTCTCTAGTCATCTAATTAAGCAGTCAGCCAATCAGTAATTTGACCGGGTTTATCTTTTCACTGATTGGTTAAAAAGACGATTGTTTGATTACTAGGTGGTGGACGAGCAGGCAAAATCATTAGCTAATATCAATTAATCGCCTGTGCTAGGATTCGAAATTCTGTTTTAATTTACAAATGTTGCTATATTTTGCATTCCTTTGCCCAACAAGCTGAAAAGTTTTTGTTGATCATCAAATCTTTAAAAAAGGGCTACAATAATCTAACTGGGACTCGTCTAACCATTAGGCATCAACCAAGCTGCAAACCAAGAACGGCTACACTCCACTTCACGTAGCAGCCCAACGTTGCCAGGTGGAAGTCGCCAGGTTGCTTTTGAAGGATAAAGCCGATCCTAACGCCGAATCTCGAAATGGCTTTACACCCCTTCACCTCGCGGCACAAGATGGAAGTGTAGAAATGGTTTGCCTGCTTCTTGATCACAAGGCAAAGGTCAATGCTAGAGCTAAGGTGGGTTTCAAGGTTTAGCGGACTGGTTGGCTTAATTGCGTTGAAAGTTCACGGGCCAAGAACAAATGAGCATAAACTCGAACTCATTTATGATTGAAGCTCTTACTTTTTTCAGAACGGTCTTACTCCGATGCATTTAGCCGCCCAAGAAGATAGCGTAAAGGCAGCAGAGGTTCTCTACGCGGCGGGTGCTCTGCTGGATCCAACCACAAAAGCCGGTTATACCCCTCTGCACACTGCTTGTCACTTTGGTCAGGTAGGTAATCAAGTCAACAATTTTTCTTTACTTACTAGTAAATAAGTAGGTATGCGGCTGTGACCTCTCCTCCTAGTTGAACATGATCAAATTCCTCATCTCGAAAGGATGCAACGTGAACGCACGTACTGAGTTGGGCTCCAGCACCTTACATTTGGCGGCTCAACAAGGTCATCCTCAGGTCATTTACACTCTATTGGAGAGTGGAGCCGACCCCAACCTGAAAAACAATGTATGTAAAAATCAATTCATTGGTTTGGTTTAATCCCTTGGGAACATTTTGTCTGTAAATTACTTGGTGTAGTACGATCTAATTGATTTTGTTAATCTCTCTGCTAGTTATTAATTAGTTCTTACCTTAATTGATTGGCAAAAAATTGGTCATGTATTTCTCTGTTATATTTTGTTGCAAGTGAGGGCTGCTTATTAATTTTTCACTAAATTAGTACTCGGTCTCAATTAATTGTTTATTTTTGATTAACCTCTTTTGCGGATTATTCATCCGCAGCTAATTTGTTATTATTTGGATGCGGCTTGTTTAAATTTTTGGAAATAAACACACACCTTTTTGAAAACAGGCGATCTTGTTCCATGCGGATAGGTAATGTGTACTTTTTTGCATTAGAGTTGGACAGATTAGAAGAAATGGAAGCTGGCGATTTTTGGTTGGAAATATACTGGGAGTATTATCGAAGCATCCTATTTTCGGCAGTGTTCTTTGTTTGATTTGTTGTTCTACGTGCCTATCATATGACCGAGGGGAATCGTTTGGTTTTCGGTTTACCTCATTGCAATGCCATTTTTCGGCTTAGGCTGGTCTGCGAAGTACACGTGGTAGTTTATGCGCTTACATTACAAAGCCCTAGACGTGATGTTTTGGTCTATCTGTACTATATTCTTAACTGACCTGTCAGCTACTTTCTTCCTAGTTTGAAGCTTCATTTTACCTGGTGGATGTGGTTTGAGATTGTCTGCTTTACTAATCATGTTGAAGCTGTCCCAAAGCCACTGCAGCTTTGTTATGTAGGGTGCGTTATACTGCAGCAGAAGGCATCACCCGGACATCCTTCAAAGTGATTTGATCTGGTGAAAAATTGCTTAAAGGTATATGCCTCACATTAAGAAGGGGGGGGGGTACGTTTATTCCTCATGATAAAAGAGAATTTCTTGTCAGTGGCAATCGAAGTGCATCGAGATTAGCATGTCAAAAACGGTGATGAGAGTACAGTTTTTCATCGACTGGGGAACGAGTGGTGGTGGTCTTAAAGACTTTCACCGTTCGATTGCTTGCTGGCTGACTTGTGATGAAGAATGGCATCTGTGACTTTGCATTCCAACCTTCGTTGGGCAGGCAATCCTATCCAGTACCCTCCCATCCGCTTAACAGCCCTAAGGTACGCCCCAATTCACCCCCAGATTGACGACTGTGCTCGCTTCGTGTATGTGTGGTTGACTGCGGACGCAATTGTTCACTATAAATTTTTCGCATCCAAGGCAATTAGCAATTACGCTTGACATCTTTATGCTCGTTAGAGCCCAATACAACTCCAAGGTGTGCAGGAAGTTTGTTTTATGCATAAATCACAACTAGTGAGGCAGTGGAGACGAAAGTCTTCTTCTTACGTGGCAACACATTGTACGATCTCATGCCTCTTTCTCCATGTGTGTAAAATCTAGCCGTTGGAAGGCCTCACACCTCAGCTGAGATGGGAGGAAGGGAGGGAGTAAAGTGCGGTCTCATTTTATCCTTCGTACTCTCTTAATTCGCGTTTTTTTTTCCTCGTTCTAGTGATTACCACCTTTCCTTCCCTTCATCATTGTATAATCACACTTGAGATAGGCCAGAAAGATGGAAAGGAGGGGAGATGTCTGGGACGAGATTTTTTTGCATCAAGCTTATGTTTCGTTAAGAATGGATGATAGATTAAGCTTGCGATAGTTTCAAGGAATAAATTCCTCTACTTTTGGGCAATGTATTTATTTGGTCACTTTATGATATCTTTCTAAAGTTGGAAAACGGCAATTTTTTCAACCAATGCTTACCAAACAGCCTTAAAAGGGGAAATGACACTTGAAAATGGACTAAGTGTCGGCTTGTCGCCTCTGCGACCATGGGTGTGGCACTTTGTGGCTAGCCTGTATAAACCCTCTCTGAGCCTCCATTTTTTCTGTTTTGCCAAAAAATGAGGGATTATGGACTGACCTGCTCATCATCCTGTATTTTTTCCCCTCCAGTTGAAACATTTTAGTGCAGCACGATTTTATCTGGACTTTAGGTGGGTTAGTGTCACTCAACTTCCGTATTTTTTCTGTCACAGAAAAAGATCGTCTGGTTTTGTGTTTACCCAACTGGGAGGTTTTATAGCATTTACTTGATTTCTTGTGATGACTCCCTTTTTGTTTAAAACAACGAAGAAATATATCGGTGGATAAAAGCCTATTCAAAATGCTTTTTCTTCCCTTTCAAATGTTTCTCACTCGAATTGAATGGTGAAATTGTGATTGGATGTGTTTGAGAATGGGGCACAACTACTTCCGTCTGCCAATCCGACTGCTTTTGTGGTTTAATAATGACAATTGTTACTCTCTGAACGCATACATTACTTGTACCGAAGATGGGAGGGGTATGGACACCCTCCTTCTGTCGTATGTTTGGTAGGACTGGCAGGTGTGCAGTTAAGCGCACTAGAGGCACAACTTCGTCGCCTTTGACACTTGTACTCCCTGGAGGGGTGAAATAATCATCACCTGTGGGGTCATCTGTGGGTGGGAGTGATAAGAGCTTCGCCACTGACGTGGTAATTAAAGGCTGCCTTTGGCGATGAGTCATTCAAGGGTCACGACCTCGAGTGAACAAGAGGGAACTGTGGAACTGACTAACGAAAGCAGAGGCAATGCAGAAAAGCTGACTGAGTGTTAGATCTGTCCACGACAAAGTTTTACATCTTTTCGCATGGTTTGGCTCCTCTAGGCCAAAGCGAGATAAATAACCCACGAAATGAAATCACAAAGGAAATTTTTCATGAATAGATGGACAGAAAGGTTAAAAAATGATTTGATCAAAGATGTATGAAGGTGTTAGTGTAGGGGTGACTGCTGGACAGTCAGTAGATTGGGTGGACGGGTGAGCGTAGTAATCGCCGTCTAAGTCGAGTCTCATTTGTCCCATCCGTCATGGAAAATCTTTCATCAGTTCAATCTCTTTCCATCCTCCGGATGGTGTTCACCATATGCTACAATGTGATGCATCTGTGTGTACACCTCTATTTCCTCCACTTTTAAACAGTCTGGATGGACGGCCGGTCACGTAGCTCAGCACCAACATTACCTCAACATCTTCGAGGTGCTGCGACGAGTCACCACTTGCGTAGAGTCCTGGGAGGAGATTGATACCTACGATGAACAGGTAGAGGGGGTGGACGGAGGTCCAGCTGAACCCAAGGCGACAGCTGATTACTTCAATTCTCACCGAGCGAGCGGGATTCCACGACTGGAATTGGAAAAGCCGGATTTGATGGCCGAGCACCCTGTCACTGACACGGAGGATGATCAAGGTGCGTTAGGGTTTTTTACTTTATTTTCTAATGGGTAAGTGAGCAGATGTTTACCCAAAGTGGACGGTGGAATGAACAGTTGCGAAGTAAATGGATAGATGGAAGGCGGATGGACGGAATGGATAAATAGTACGCATTTTTAAAGATTATGATTGAATAGGTGAGTTTGTTTGGAAAAAAGAATGGATAAGGAAATCTCTAATAGGTGAATAGAGTGGGGATGCATTAGTGAATGGGTCAGGGCCGTATAGTTGGACGGAAAAGTGATTTTGGAGTGGACAGGTGAATGGATGATTGCGAGGATGGCCCTAGAATGGGTAAATAGGTCAAACCTAGTTGATTTAAATTCTCGTAAACAAGTTCTACCAAAATAAAGTCTTTGCCACACACTTCGCCATTAAATGTGATCCTGGAAAAATTTCAATACTGTTGGTTATTCATAGATGAACATACGAGCTGTCGGTTAGATAGGTCTGGTTTAAGTAGCATCTTCTCTGTACTTTTTGATCGCACGATGGGTTGGTCTTTCTTGGCTCATTCAGGCGAGGTCGAATACACCGCCATCCCGCCATCACCCATGTTCTCCCGCGCCGTCTCGCAACAGGCCATAGAGGAAGAGCGAGTCGAGCAGGTGGAGGCTGGTCGCGCCAATCAGAAAGCGATTCTGCGGAAGCAACTGTCCAATGACAATGCAGCTTTCACGAGAGGCGGTGCAAGGCTCTCGGACAAGCACTCTGTTGTCTCGGGTAAGTACTTTTAAAAAGCCCTCTCAACGCGACACTTTTTTACAGTAGTAGATGGTTATGGTGAGATAAAATCCGTCTAACTGTGTCGCAACCATGACAAAGTTTTTCTACACATTCCGACCAGTTACAAATCAAGATTTCTATTGGTTTGCGATTTGCCCTTGAGGACAGCGCATGAGATCTGAATAGTAAGTAAGCAAGGACTTTCTAGCTACAAGATTAAATAGTCTGTGGAATACGATTAATGGGTGGAACAACTCTTTATGAACACCGCCATCCACCCATATATTCATTTATCCGCCTGTGGTCCATTTATCCATCGACCTATCCATATCAACGTCTACTCCAGATCCGCCTCTTCATCCGTTTTCTCTGGTCTATCATCTACTCATTCATTCTTTCGTCTGCCTATTCATCCTTTTTGGTCCATTCACCTACTTATTTCTTCAATCGTCTACTGATAAATCCATCAAATCATCACCGATCAGTCTACTCATCTGCATTCGTGCATCCTTGATCCATCAAATTATTCACCAGCCTATTCATCCCTTGATTCACTCATCTACTTATCCTTCTCTTTCTAATCCATCTATTCATCTACCGCCTTTAATCCCCGTGCTCTTCTAATCATTCCTGATACATTTACCCACCCATCTGTGGAACTGCCAATCCAATCCATCCACTGGCTTGTCTATCGACATCAGATCCATCCTTTTATCCGTCTAAATGGGGTGTATCGAACCCTTTATCAAGCCACATGCTGGCATGGTCCTCTATTCGTCCACTTATCCACACATCTTTTAAAAAGCACGTTTAATTATCCCGGGAATGTGTTTTTTCGCCTCAACCACCGAGGTGAATGCGCTTTGATAGCTGGGGGATCAGTGCTTCAAACGTCAACGTCGCTTACTTCCCCCCCGATTCAAGATATTCACTTTAGAGGGCGACTGAAGATGCTCACACAGCGACCACATTTTCCCTATTTTCATTAAACTTTTTGAGAACGTCCATTATGCGAGGATAAATTTGCAACCAAGTGATAAAGTCAAACCCTTATTTCTCTTTATTCAATGTTTTCAACGTGGGAGGCAAAAGGTCTACTGCTGCCTTTTTTACCTCCCCCAACCGAGTGATTCACCTGACAACTTAGTGTCACCTTTTCGGAGCACTTTTAAGGTTTTTTTCACATGGAATTAGTCATGTCAACACCTCAAACTATCAACAATGGTTCCCGTTTAGAGACGGCATTTTCTCACAAAAAGTGCGCGCCAGGTATAACCTAAAAACATTTTGATGATGCGATTCAGTCTGCATTCCACGCATATCCATCTTCCTGGGCCAAGAAGCTAGCCACCTGGTGTAGCAAAACATTTTCCTTATCTTTCAAGCTAAAGAAAGTGATAGTCGCCCCAAAACAGCAATGCTGGTGGGACTCATTGCCTCCCCCTTCTGCCATTGGTTCTGCTAACACCTCATCCCCATTGGTCACCCGTCAAGCGACCAATCAGAGGAGTGGGATTAGTTTTGCAAGCACCAACCGAACGGGTGGCACTGTTTGGCAGTTAATGTTCATTTCTATGAAGTCTTTTTCTTCTCTCAAAAGTCTACATTCCTCGGAGGTTAAGTCACCGAAAAAACTGCGTTTCAGTGAGTCATCTATTGCTCTCTGTTATCCGTAGACTTGTTTTTTGCCCTGACCATTGTTTTGGGAGGTTTTTTTCAGTACTGAAACTGGAAGGGTTTCTTCTATGTATTTGTTAACTTTCATTTGCAAAAAATATGTGCTTGGTTATTTTTTTCTCATCATCTGGTATGTAAATGGATGTTTAACGCAGGTTTTTAACTAGATTCACTTGACCTTATAGAGGGCGAAGCTGCCCTAGGTGACCTTCGTGAAATATCATCACTGCTTATGGCGGAGGCATGTCACATTTATTTTTAGCGCCCCGAGCTATCATTGAGAGTGCATTAAGGAAGGCAGTTTATTGTTAGAATGGTCGAAACTGCAGAGACTGGCGATTAAAAGAAAGATCGGTTTGTCGCTTATCTCCTCCTTATTCTGAGCTTCGGCCTCGGCAGTCCCTATGTTCGCTTTTCCGTCTCGGTCAAAGCGAATCCTCGTATGAACCTCAACTGACCATGAGACAAGTTTGGAGCTGGTAGCATGTGTTCGCTCCATGGAAGGGGCCGAGTTCAGGGATGGTATTTAGGGTCATACGATGGGGGAACCATCACCTTCCCCGATTTGTTGATCCACGACCTCTCTCCACTGGTGGCTATTACTTGCAGAAGTCAAACCTGGGAGCTTGCTAAAAGTTGGCGCCTTTTCAGTCATATTCAGTCAGTTCTCCCCGTCTCGTTTAGATTCTGCTGTTCATCTGGATTGAGTTTGCTTATCGCTGCCACCAATGTAGCGCTCCGTGTTCTTACTGTAACCGTAAAATGTGCATCCGTGCTGAATTCCAATCCATGTCTTTTGGAAAAGGTCTAGACACAAACTGTATCCTCAGTACGCCGTAAATAAAAACATATTGTATCCAAGGAAGTAAGTAAAAGCCCTAACTGTCCCAAATGTTCACTCCTCCTCCAGATGTTTTTTTTTGATGGTTAAAGAGAGGCCTACCTAAGCAAAAACACCGGACCTTTTTTTCTCCTGTGTTACTTACGCAACTTCTGGCTGCATTGTTCATGTGCAGAATTTACATGAATGTTTGCAACTTCTTATGCGGCGTTTTTATTAATCCTCTTCCTACTAAGCCCTAATCCTAAAGGGAGAAGCGAAGAGAAAGATCGGTTTCCTATGAAAATGAATGCTTTAGCATCAAATTGGCTGAAAAAAGAAACAAATTGTAAGCAACTGAAGCCACTGGTGGTGTTGTGGGTTTGCTTGTAGGTAACCGTCCCGAGGACACTTTAAGAATGATGGGAGGGGGGAGGAGGTTCAAATCAGGTGAGCTAGGGAGCTAATATGGACATGACACTTCTTAGTCGTCCACTCTCGGATCGTATTGGCTAAATAGGTAAGTAGACAAGGTAGGTGGGTCTGGATCTTTTTCCGATCCACTGCTTTACAACAGCCCTAGAGATCCGGATTCGGACTGCTGCATTGATGCTAAGATCTTGCGGCGGTACTTGTTCACACCCGCAACGACAAACTCTCCATGATGTCCTAAACGTAGCAGTTAAAGGGGTACAGAGTAGGGAAGCTAGGAGGTGCCTAACGATGAAGCTTTTTGTTCATCCACTCATCTAGGTCGTGCAGTTTGTCTGAGAAGCAGTTGCGTCTGAACGCATCCTCGGCTTCAACGAATCGCCTCGTCATGATATCCTGCGATTTGCCTTACAAGCTCTTGCTTTCTGATGCTACCCAAAACGTTGATTAGGACTTTTTCACCGCATAAAAAAAGCATTTCCTGTTTTTCCCAGACACGGTGGCTCTAATGAGGGTATTTAATAAGGATTTAGTCATAATCTTCTCAACCTGGCTTGAAATCACGTGGGGATTTTAATAACAATGCATGGGAAGGATACGCCAGAGCTGTGAAACGAAGAGAAAATGGTTTGGTGTTTAGCACCTTACTAACATTTGTGATAATACTGAAAAGTCAGTCAAAAATGATTTTTGCGTTTATTTCTAAAGCAGGGCAGTTAACTTTTTTTTTGCCGAGCAAATGGTTCCGTGAATTTTGGAGAGGAGGGTGGTGGGGGCGGGGAGGAACCATCTATCACGTATTTTGTTCAACTATAAGCAATGGGCGAATGCGTGTGGAATTTTGTAATGAAGGCTGAACTAGGTTTTATAAGGAGTGCATTTTGTAAGACCTTTAACTCGCAACTACAAACCAGTTAAGAGAAATTGCGAAGGTTCTTAGTTTTCTCCCCGATGTTTCTGCACCGTTGGAAGTCGTCCTGCCTGAAAGGGTTCTGCAAAGTACCATTTCAGCTATTAACGTAAACGGGAACGTCACACTTACCAAAATGGAATCTGAGAGACACAAAGGAGGAAGATATTTAGTCCCAGCGTCGTTAGCACATCTCTCCACTTTCATTTTCATCTTCTTTTACTTGGATTCACTAATTTTTTTTGTACAGCTCTGCGATCCTTCCCATCTAGAGACAGCTGTCAGGATTTAATCCAGTTTCTAGTGGCTCAGTTCCGTAATGAATGCTGTCAAACTGTTCAAGACTTTCATCACTTTCACAGAGTGCTCGCCAAAAGTGGACGCAGCCCAGCTTGCGCCTTCTTCTGTGAGGTTTTGAGTTTTGCCTCCATGCCACAAGACCAAAAATTACTGTTCATTTTATTTGAGATTTGCTTACCGCTGCCATCAGGGTGATGCTTTGATTCCCTCTGAACACGCTATAATGGTAAACGTTTCAGAGTTAAACTTCATTACGTACATCCGAAAGGATTGACGGGCGGACTGTCAACTGGCAGTAATGTGAACGTAGTGCCATAACTACGAGGCAGTAATCGATGGAGCGGAGATTGAACAATTAAAAAGCTGTAAATAAGGTGTATGAGAATGAATAGGCGTCTGAAATTTGCCCTCTTTACACGCGCCAGAATGCACTACTGCAAGAACCTCATTAGCAATGGCAAGGCTGAAGTGATATTTTCGGTTTGTGATGAGCTAATTAATCAAGTCGACATGGAAAGGATTCTTTGCTGTTTTTTCATTCTTTTTTAAATGTAAGGGGCTTTCGAGGTATAGGTGGTCCTAGATGTCTGTTTGAGTTGGCGCCGTGGGACGAGTAAACAGTTATAGGCTTTAAAACAAATGCACAAGGAAGTCACCGGCGAAGAAGGGCAGCCGCTCTTTTCGTGTTCATAAAGGAAACTACATTATTTAATTAAGTTAATGAGTCGGGAAATATAGTTCGCTTTATCTTCTAGAAATGATTAATTTTATGGATAAATAAAATATTCTAGCGACGGTGAACCAACGGGTAAAGGGTTGTTTTGAGCTGAATTCGCTATTTGCATAAATATGTCGATTTTTTTATCTAACCTCCTCTTGGATTTAATCTGGTAATAACATAAAACCTTGGAATTAATGAAACACAAGGATAAAAGAAAAGTGCGTTAAGAGTAAACCGGAGCTCTTGATTGTAGCAGCTCCGAACCAGTTGCTACCGTGGTGATGCTAAATGGAGTAATGTGTGTATGTCAAAGATAATCTATTTCAATTTCTAGTAGCCTTGGTCCACTTCAGACAGCGTTAGCCAACATGGCAGAAATTAGCGGTGCGTGCGTAAAATAGGTTCTGGCTATGATGGAAGTTTTCAGCGAACGAAGGTATAACACTCCTGGAGGCCTTCGAGCGCGATCTCTACCTTGATGGACAGCTCAGCCTTTTATAGACAGGACATTTGACTAGTATTGTGGCAATGATTTAACGACGCTTGGCTGTTTGTAGGGGACAATTCTGGCCGTGGTGGTCTCTACCCCATCCACACGGCAGTCCCGTGAACAATCGGTCATCACGTGTAACTCTTGAACTCGGATATCTGATAGACACATATATTATTGTGCGACTGGGCAGGGGTAGACCTTCACGGTGAAATCTTGAACTTGGCCATTCACGAACATTTGTAGTTTGAAAACTTTGTGTCCCAGAATGGCTCAGCTGCACCAATAAATCTTCCCATGGCAAAGTTACCTTCCGCAATTATTCCAAAAAAACTGGCCTTTCGCTTGATAAACTCCGAGTCTTAGTTGAACTTGAGGGTTACCCGTGGCTTTTGCCTGGTGAGGAGGTTTCTTGCATTTTGTGTCTCGTGAATTTCTATGGAATTTCTCTCGTTCCATTATTGCGTATTCCTCTCTTACTAATAAAGTCTGCATATACTATTGACCTGTGAATATATTAGATCGCCTTATTCACTGTTTAGCAATGCTCCTGCGGCGAAAGTGATTTAATTTTGTATTTTTTTTTTTTCAATTTAGGAGAAGACAGCATTGATGAGGGTATTGGCTACACGATAAATCAGTCGCAGTTTGCGCGTGATAAGGACGCAAACGGGGTCTTTGTCGTTGGTAATGGCTTTAGGGTAAGCATAGGACGTTGAATTAGCATTTCTCATAGTCACATCAACGCATTTCAAGGTTATATTTCGAACAGCATTTCATTATCGAGGTCAACTAATTGCGAGCGATTGCTCAAAAGCCCTTGCTACTTAATTTAATCAAGTAGATATTTGTCCTGCACTGACCACGAACCATTTCTCCAACGCTTTTCAGGCATCCGGCCAGCGTCTGAAGCGTGCAGATCGTGAAAGCAAGTTCTCTGGCAACGGAAGTGAAAATATCGGCTTTTCAAGTGGTTATGGTGGTCTCGAGTGGGACTTTGTTCCCGACAATGCTCCTATCTGTCGCAAGCCAATCACATCTGGGTGAGTAATGGCCACTGCATCCCCACTACTATCTGTTGATTGATAGCTTTCACATGGGATTAGACACCCCGTTGGCAGCATGCCTAGTGGACGTTGACCCTTTGACATTAAAAATATCGAAAATCTGGGCAATGCTTCGATGACCTCATCAACCATGTGTCCGCGTTCTGTTGCTATCCAACGGTCAAAAGTGAAACTGTTTAGAGACTTTCTATGTCCCTTTCATTTCAATCATTATTTTAATTAATTCGTTGTATTTCCTGGTGAGATTAGTCGAGCATATTCTTTGCTGCGGAAGCTCGATACACAGATATGCCTGCGAAAATATTGCCCTAAAAACTGCCACCGATTTGACCCGAACGCTTAAATCTTCACAGGTTGTACTTACGCTCTGTAGTTTGGCCTTTGGGCCGTGCCAATAGCCTTCCGGTCCTTCTATGCGTAAAGAGTATAACTCCCTCCACACTGCCTTGGTTTATTACGTTTCATGACTCTAGGAAAGGATCAGGAAGTTCGTGCACCTTGACTGATTGCGTGGATCCAATTCAGTTCATGGGGGTTTGGAGGAGATATACCGTAATGAACTTTTCCCGATGGTCTGAGTCTGGTGCCGGTTCGGTTTGTTAATAGCATTCTCGGGGAAGGCAGAACTACGATAATCACCAAAGACGGATGTCAGTCTCAACCCTCTTGATAGGAGTCCTCACCCATCCACAACATATGCCCTTCTTCCGTGACGTTAAGGTTATGCATTCATACGTAGATTGGGTTCACCTGCTGCCACCACCAAGGCAGCGCCGTGAGCTTTCCCTGGGAGTATATTGAATCGAGGTAGTATGAAAGAACAAATACTGGGAGATGGGCTATTGGCACTGGTTTAACGGCCGTGCCGCGGTGCGGAAGTGCCACCGCCCGAAGACTGAAATGCTCGCGTAGTTAAACACCCAGTCAAACAAAATACCCAAATCACGACACAGCAACTCAACCGTTTCCGGTTGCAGGGCTCTTTAATAGCCATGCAACGAAACGTAGGTAACGTAGTCCTCACATAATGTACTGCCACGCCCGCTAATAGTCACACGGTGAGCCAATGACCTACCTCCTGCGTGCACACGCCTATTGGATTAGCCGTGCGCACGTGCGCCCGCGCGCCGATTGGTTCTTGCCTGTGCATGGCTTCGGTCGGGCTGTTTAGACCAGTGTTAGTACTGCGCTCGGTCTGTTCAGAGCAATTGTGAGGGTATGGGACTGTCGGAGCATTCTGCATCTACTGAGGAAATAACCACCATCCCCATCGAAAAAATCGAGGATAAGGTGACTCAACCCGGCTTATGCCATGATCGGTAATTACTACGGTTTTAAAATTTGAACATTGCTCATTCACTACTCATTGGTCAGCAGGCTTATGTCAGAATTGAGATGAGGAAGTTAGCAGTTTCATCTAGCATACTTTTTATCATTAATATAAGAATAATTCTTAGGAAGAATTTGTTTAATCAGAATTAGTGCATAACTGGTATGTTTTTTCCTATCATCCAGAGCCCAATGTATTTAATTCAGTTTTATGCGTTTTTAACTGAATCCGCTCGGGTGGCACTTTTAAAATCTACTATCCGACTATCTATTAGTGATTTTACTTGAAAAAACCCCAAATGATGTTTTTTTCTGAATATGCACTTTATCCCACATTGAATTGAATACTCATGATAAATAACATTTACTTTACAACAACTGAATTTATTATTGACCTCAATAAACTGTGTTGGATTCTGGACTGTGGAAAAAAATCAAGATTTGTTACTACCTCATCTACGTCTCCCGCTTAAATCTCATTGGTTGGTAGTGGGGGTTGTTTATCACCACTTTTTGGTATTGGTTAATCCCTTTTTTGCCCTACTATCGCTTCAAAAGTACTTGTCTTTCTTTGTCACTTAATAGTCGAGAATTTGGAGGGTTAATTGAACGATTCTGTGGTCAAGTGTTGGGGTGGTTCTGGATTGGCAATGGGTTGTACTTCCACGGCGTTCACACGCGCAAAAAGCTTTTGGTGACACCCATAAACGGTTCAAAGTGATTTTGTTTAAAGCAACGAACGGGAAGTGAATCGCTACATCTTCGCGTAAACATCCATGAGGCGTTGCATGTAACACTTTGATTACCCCTATTTTTTCTAGCCTCTTTATAAATGCAAATGTCCATTTTTTTTCCTAGAACTTGCTGAAAAAATGCATAGGTTATGCCGAATTAGCATTTCCTTAGTCTGCGTTATCAAAATTTCCGGAGGAAATGGTATCCGAGACCGCCACATGTCTAATTCTTTCTTTTTCTGGCCACATTTGTGGTCTAGTAGTTGGCGGGGTGTAGACTGCACCCAGGAAGGGGGGACAGGCCTCACTCAAGCGTAGAGTGGTGTGACCAGTCCTCAAATTTCACTTGGTAGCATTAAATTGAAGTCAGTAGTAACCTGAATATCTCCCAACTTCTCACGCTAATTTGGTTGTGAATTTCTACGATTCACTTACCGTGGAAACTTTCACTTTCTCCCAAGGTGAGGGCCGGATTTCATTATCTACAGAAGTAGGTCGTGATGTGTCCCATATGTCGTAGTCGATTCAAGTGGAATAAAATTTTTATGTGATGATGATGATGATGGTGGTGGTTCGAAGGCGACGTCGAACGTTTGAATGGAAAAAATGGCTTTTCTTCCGTAAAATCTGTTCAAATGTTACCTTTATTATTCACCCTATAAATAAGCTGTTGAATCGTTTATTGGCTTAGTAATACGACCTGTGATTAATTCGTTATCTATCTGCGTCACGCATGTGTGACGCCTGGATTTCCTCATTGCAAATGACGATTTTCACCACTCTACGACAACTGTGGTTACACAAGATTGTATATCCCAAATTGGTAGGCTGAGTGTAAAGCCGTGAAACAGGTCTAGGATAACGTTTTTTGTCTGAGAGGCAACAACTTTTTTTGTTTTAGAGCAGCAGTCTCATTGGTCAATTCCTTGTTGCGTAAAAGCAATAAAACGTCTGGACTGTGGCTGCCGTTTTTTACCCGAGTCTTCGGCAGGGAATGATCCTCCTCTGTTTTTTTTTAATTCAATCAACCGTAAAATTCAACACCAACATGTTACACGGTTTTGGCCGTGTGACTGACCTAGTTTGCATGGTTTGCAAGGGTCACCCGATGACCCCGCTTTATGACCAGTGTAACTGAATGCTTGCAATTACAGTTAACATGTTTATATAGCAGATGTGGATTCACCGGAAGGGTTATTTTAAATGTTTATGACATGGTTGATCACTTGTGTAGCCTTACGTTCTCGCGTGATGCAACTCTTCCAGGGCTTTCAGGAAAATTTAGTTGAACAAGACCTCAAGGATTCTTTCCGTGGGAGCCCTTGTAACTTCGGCCATCCGTCTAGTTAGACGTGAACCTTCCCCGAAGCATCAGCAAAAAGAGGGGAGAGGGAGGAGTAAAGGCTACCAACCATATGCCAGGGGCGCCACAACTGCCTTTACGAGAACCTAGCTTCGGCAGGTCAGAAACCGAGTTAAGCTCGATCGGTGAAGGAGACAAGCTCTAATCACATCAACTCCGATCACTTGATAGTTTATGGTAGGACAGTTTAAAATACGTGGACACCGGCAGAGCCCGCACTGAGGAATACCGCATCGACAGACTGCGCCATCACACTCTTGTCTTATAACGCCGGCATATAAACAATCTCATGAGGTGGACTATTTCTCACAATTCGTAAGTCATTGCAATGGTCATCCGGTATGCGGGTATGGACGGTCGGAGTAACTAGTAGGGTGGGAGATTGAAAGGGTCTCTCTTCTCTTATCGGTTGAAGTAGACATCGCTCAAAAATTACTTTTTCATCGTTCAAAATCCTTTAAATATTTACTCCCTCCCTATTTCAGATTTTTGGTCTCCTTCTTGGTTGACGCACGCGGTGGTTCAATGCGGGCAAGTCGGCATCCCGGACTGCGAATCATGGTGCCCCCCAGTGCTGCAAGTGCCCCCACTCGCGTCACTTGTCGGATGCTGCGTCCAGAGCGTACTACCGCACCGCCCCAGCTCAATGATGGAGAGGGTCTTGCTTGCCGGTGAGTTGGAATAAGTCGTTTCAGTTATCTCATTTACCATCAAACTCAATTTTGTTGTTTCATTTGTTAAGAATTTCTGATGGTCAGACAATCAGTTGCATTGAAGTGGTATCGTTTGTCAACCGTCTCTGGAAACCGGCATTCATATAACAACTTCAGAAGTACCGTTTGCTAATCCTCAAATTCTATGATCAAGAAATTGATGGAGGAATCATAAATAGGAAACCGCATTCCAGCTAAACGAAATTTTCCTGCCCAGTAGTGCGACTTGCCTATAATCCAGTTTCATGACCGGGAAATAAGTCCTCACTTGCTGATTAATTCGGATGGTCATTCAGTGGGTCGAGCTGCATCGATAGCACGCATATCAGTAATGTCAGTTGGCATTCAAGACATCAGCATTTGGATGATAGCTACACCAATCCATTAACTCCTCAACACGCTGATAGAAGTCAGTAGTATCGCCCAGCACCTATTTTCGACCGTTGTTTGGCTTCAACATCGTGGTGTAGGAAAGGGAAGACTTTTTTTGTGATGTGTCAGCTCACTTCCATACTTCCGCCCTCTACTGTATTTCGTACCGTCTTCACCGAGTTTGACCTCTGAAGAACTGCTAGTCGTCTGCGAAGGAATCGCTTTATCTCTGGCTCGCATCTCCACTACAATTTCTTGTTGTCATTAATTGAAATTGCCATCTACGTACATGAGGTTCCCTAGTCAGGTGTATTTGAGCCGTCCGCTAGACGGAAGCGAAGACGATCCTCTGAATACTAAGACTGATGAATGCAGTAGAAGCGGGGCGCCTCGTGGTTCTTGATGGGTTTCTTTAATCCCCTATTTTATCCAAAAGTGCCTTTTTGTGAGGAAGATGTGAAGGTTGCCTATGCTCCATGACGAGTGGATTCCGTAAACCTCTAAAGCAAAACCATTTATTATTAGATAGCTGGAGAAGCTTGTGCGGTTTTTGGCACGAACCACTGCAATGAATGTGGTGGTCCAGCTTTATTCCTACAGTACTCTTCGATGTACTCTTCACCAGGATGTACGCTGGTTGAAGCTGCTGTGATTGGAACTTTTCTACTTCCCTAGTCAAGTTTAACTCGCTTTCTGACCTGCATAAGGTAGGCTCCCGTGGAGGCAATTGTGGGGCACCTGGTGAAGGTGCGGTGGTTGAAGGCATCATATGGAGCTGTTTCAAATGAGTAATTTGGTTCCAATGGGGCCTCACCTAGAGGAAAGTCTTTCTCTTCTTGATAACAACGGTTTCGATAAACCTTCTTTTAATTGTCTAAGAACTAAGCCATCCACAACAAATGCCTTCCTTCGTGACCTTTCAAGATGGTATCCACTCTTCCAAATCGGGAATATTATTGCCAATGTGGCATCTGATTTACCTTTTGAAGTCATGAAGTGTAGAATAAGGTAGGAGAGGGGGAGATGGGGCGGGAGCTTTAATGTCACCATACAGAAGACCTGGGGGACTAACAACCTTGGCTCCACCCAAACCAAATCGGGCAACACGGAAAAGGTCACCCAGGTGTGTGTGTGTATATACAATTCTTCAAACGCCTCTGCAATTCTCCCTCCGCAGCATAATCGAGTTGGGTCCTCATCCATGCCAATTCAATTCACCTGTCTTGTTGGAAATCCCCCACTTTGCTGCTTTGCGTGGGAGACAACGTGAAATTGTCGTGCTTCGCAGTGATGATGCTGAAACCTGGAAGGAGCATTCTCTCGAGGCCACGGATCAGGCGGTTCGGAATGCTCTCGGATCCGTCCTCGGTGAGCTTCTTTTAACCACTGCCACAACCATCATTATCGTTTCTCTAAGGTTGTATCCTCAGGACGGTGTTTTATATCCAGATTTCTAGGATAATTTTAATCACCCAGCATTGTTAACCCTCTTGATCAAAAAGTACAGGAAAGAATTCCTTATTTATCACTCTAAACAATCGGGAGCCTGATAGCTGGATAGGTATTTCCATTACCTACTCCTACTTAAAAGGAAAGGCACTTTCGCGATTTTATAGCCGCTCTTTAAGTTGACCGCGCTACGCTTCTCGTTGAAACTTAACTGCGCAATTCATGTAAGTCACTTTCAAAGTAGCGACGCCGGTCTTACTCATCAGCAAAAAGGTCTCTGTACTTGTGGAAGTTCAAGGAGGTATGCCCTCGCAGCAGTAGTGTCAAGTCTTTCCCATTGCCCGTTTATCATAGCTGGCGTCCACCACGCCATTCCGGCCAGTGGAGTGTAGACCGGTCCAGCCGTCTAGACATAGTTAACCAACATTACAGCCTTTCAAGGACGGGGTAGGATGGGTCGCGCATGACCTTGAAATGGAATAGCGTCAGCGTTTGAGGGACAGGGGACTGTACAGCATGTCCAAGGGTAGATGAGGATCTCGAGTTGGATCGGATTGGACGTGGTGCAGTGGTGCCCGCCGCGCCATCACAGCTGTCACTTCTGTGAATGCCTCTTCCAGTTCGTAGGAGGTGAATCACCAAGTGGGATGCATTTAGTCGCCGGGTGTCCGGGGGAGATTTAGCCGTACTGATGTATCTTTTTGCACCAAAAATACTTCCCTGTCCTTTTTTCCTCGTATAAACCACGGAGTTCCGGTTTAACTTGCTTTTCATTAGTATTTAAGCTGTATTCCACAACCTTTTTTGAGTTTAAGTTAGAATTCTGACGATTGGAGATCGGATGGATAGATCAATTGTCAGACTGGCGGATGAATGCTGAAATCGCTAAATGCCTCCCCTCATCCAACTGCTTCGATTGCCATCTAATGTGTGTCGTTTTCTTTTCAGATACTCTGGAGACCACGGAACAGTTGAAGGAGAAGCGAATTTTGCGTGTTCTGATGAGCGATTTCCCCCAATACCTGGCTGTGGTCAGTCGTCTGCGTCAGGAGATCGCTCTCATTGGTTCAGATGGTGGTGTTCTTAGCTCCACTGTCGTACCGCAAGTTCAAGCCGTCTTCCCTGAGGGCGCGCTTCAGAAACGGATTCGCGTGGGTCTACAGGTGAGTCAAGTGCCCTTATAGCCTCGCCACCAGGTCAGGGCGGGGGTGAATGGGTGTGTGGACGGCGGGAGGAGATGGGTGGAAGTGGATGCTAGTAGCACTACCAAAATTTACAACTTCATGTACGTTTATCCGCGCCTACTTGCAGTAAATCACAGTTGTTTTGGTGCTCTCTGTCAGCAAAAAAAGTGCGTCTAGAGAGACATTTGACAGCTTGATTACTCTCCGTGGTAAACAGAGGTGACGGGAGGTTTAACTGAACGGGCCTAGAAAGGCCTTCTGGTCTCGTACTAGGTGGTGAGAAAAGTTTGTACGGTTTTCCACAATGATTTGTTGGAACCAGTGGGGACTGGTAAAGTTCATGCGATCTACTCTTTTCCATTTGTTTTGGACCGCCCCATATCATGAATTGTTGATTTAATGAACCTGGAGGATGTGACTTGAGCTTGTCACCTTTACCAATCATGTTTAGCCCGATTTCAGAACTACAAAAGGTGGAAACTTGAAGGGGTCTGGGCAACAGAATGTGCCTCATCGAAGTGGTTTGAAGATTGATTTTAGAGATGGGGCACTCAAGGGCTTACCACCCCCAAGGAAATGGAGGCGGAGAATTTGGCACTGCTATCGGTTAAAAGAACTCGAGATTGACGTGTCAAGAGATACTTTATTGACATTTGCCATATGCCATGCGGCAGTGGATGCCAATGAGGTCAGAGGTCATGGAACTGCTGATTAACCCGCTAGGGATGAGGAGGAATGGCTTGGGCACCTCTGTAGTCCATTGCCCTTTAACCAAGCGAATATTTCACTCACTGTTCCACTACTTATCGCACACAATTGAGGCCCGCACTACTTTATCACCAAAAAACTGTTCTGTTCGGTGACCTCCAATAACAACTGTTCCCTAGGAATTCCTCATCACAAAAGCTCGCCTTGAAGGCCGCCCATTTGGGGTAACTCAAAGCAGTTAGTTGAACGCTTGATTACGAAATACTTCCATGCCCAGTGCTTCCAGAGAGACCTACGAGAGGGCCTGTACTTTAGAGTGAGATTAGGGAGACACCAGGTCATCTTAACCCAAATTTTTATGCTCTATTCCCCTAAGGTAGGCTCCCGTGGAGATAATTGTGGAGCAACTGGTGAAGGTGCGGTGGTTGAAGACATCATATGGAGCTGTTTCAAATGAGTAATTTGGTTCCAATGGGGCCTCATCTAGAGGAAAGTCTTTCTCTTCTTGATAACAACGGTTTACTAAACCTTGTTTTAATTGTCAAAGGACTAAGCCATCCACAACAAATGCTCTATTCCCCTAATTCACCTTTTCCAAGCGATATCCCACCATATTGAGCATTCGAACAATCCCACGATCACATGCGTAATAGTTTCGTTAGTTGGGAATAGGGAGCGGCAGAAAGGGAAGCAGCTGGGGTCCCACTTTCGCTCTTCAAAATCAGAACGGTTTGGAGAGGTTAAATCCTCTCAGAAAAGGAAGACATGCTCAAAGGGCGTTTTTTCGGTGAACGAATTTTGCATTTGTTGTTATTCAACTTCCCCCCCCCTTGTGTAACGAAAAACCGCGCAGATTCTGTGATTCCGAGTATCAGCTGGAGGCGAAAATCATCGACAAATATCTTCATCTGCGTTTATTTTCCTTTATAAATTCCTTCAAAAAGAGAAATGATAGTCGATAGGCGTTTCCCTTCCCTACTTCCGGTCTTGTCGTGGCCTTAGAAGAAGAGTGCCCTTATTTGGTCAATGATGTGGCTGTTTTTGCAGATTCTCAGTGCTCAAAGGGAGCCGAGTTCACCCCCTTCTCTGGAATCAAAGGTGCTTGCTTTGTCACGTCGCCTGCGTGACTTGGCCCCTTCTCGCCCAAGTAGTGCATTCAAACAAACACCTTTGGGTCTGCGCTTTTGAAACAGGGAAAAATACTGACGGGACTTCTTGTCTCTCATTCGAAATATTTTTTTTAATCGAAAATGTGGGTTTGTGAGACTAGGGAGTCAGATTTTTGTCGTGAAGTTCTTTGAAAATATTCGAATGGAGGGGTAATCTTTGCCTACGGGGTTCCGTTGATTAAACATCGTACGTAACTGCACTATTCCACTTAGTGAATGGATGGATTTCTGAAAGAACAGTTGGCTGGAGAGGTCGACGAACGGATGAATGGGCACTTGGATTCGTGGATGGACTGATGCCTGCCTGAATGGGCAATTAAATAGATCAGTTGATGGGTGGGTCATTTGGGCGATGGATGGATGACTGGGCGAACCAGTGGATGATTGGATTGATGGATTGCCCAACTAGGTCAACAGATTCATTGGCAGTAGCTTGGTGGATGAATGCATGACTAGATTAATGGATGGTTTGGTTGACCTGATTCATGACTAACCAGCTGGACGTAGGTCATATTAGGTACTGTGTATCATTGGCCACTTGGATGAATGGACATATGAGTCATTGGACGTTTTTTTCTTGCATTCGCATAGACACGTAGATAGGCGGGTGGGTGAATAGGTGTATGAATCAACGGGGAGACGGATACATGGGCGGACGGTTGGCCAAGTAAATCAACGGACGGATGAATTTGTCTGTACTATAAATTCTTCTACCGGTGGTTACCCATGGGTGCTGTTGGTGAATGGACAGGCAGCGGAGAGATCTGGGGAATGGGTAGGCGATTTGATGGACGAAGAGTCGAGTGTATTGGTAGATGGGTGATCGGTTGGCATTATTAATCGCCTGACGTCCGAATGCACCTTATTGTCACGAGCTTACATAGGATAGATCGGTCTCGGATGAACAGGTAGCTGACAGGCCGTTAAAACACTTCATTTGCCTATTTATCTTCAAGGCTCACCAAATTCCATCTGACATGGTCACTCGCCTAGTGGGCACTCAGGTCACCGTCTCGCCCATTGTCACCATCGAGCCGAGGCGTCGCAAGTTCCACAAACCCATCACCCTTACCATCCCTCTGCCTCGTTCGGCTGTATCCAGCAAACAACACCACGGTGGTGCCGGCGCCGACTCGGCGGCCAATAGCAGCCTCCGACTCCTCTGCTCCATCACCGGTGGCACGGCCTCGGCTGTGTGGGAGGATATCACGGGTTCGACACCGCTTTCTCGTGTCAAGGACTGTGTCTCATTCACCACCACTGTCTCTGCTAGGTGTGTGTTAGTGTTTCATCCACTTGATCGGTTGGTTTTCTTATCCGTTGATCAAACAGTAACATCGTCGGTCTGTTGCTTTACCGTTCCGGCGATGGACGTGATTATTTTCTGACCGGTACATAGTTTACGCCGACCTCTATTTCTCCACGAGGTGTCTTAGTCTGCTTGACTTTTGAGTGGTTCGCCACTGTCGATTGCTAACAGTGGACGATGTATTAAGGAGGATCCTGCTAACAATGACTGCTTCAATGCCTTGCAGACTATGGTTGATCGATTGTCTGGTGATTAATGCAGCGGTGGAAGTTGCAATGCGTCTCTACAAGGAGGCGACAGCTGTTCCCTACATGGGCAAATTTATCGTCTTCGCGAAACGTCCAGAAGTGGATGAAGCCTTAATGCGTTGCTTCTGCATCACTGATGACAAAGTTGACAAGGTCAGTTATCCTCTTGTCACATCCTCGTCTCCCTTCCATTCACAGAACCTCCGAGGTGCCTTCTAATGCCTTTTTAGACCCTTGAATGTCAAGAGGGCTTTGACTTGGTTGCGGCCAGCAACGAAATCGAGGTGGTTGACAATCGCCCCACTTGGCTAGAGTCGTCTGGCAACCTCGCTCCTGTTGTCAAAGCCGATGATCAGCTGAGACTTCATTTCAACGCCTTTAGAGAGAACCGTCTGGCTTTCCCTGTGCGTATCAAGGATCCACAGCTGGAACCATCTGGAAAACTCGCTTTTGTTCGCGATCCACGTCCAGGCAGTGTGAATGAAATAAAACCCATGCTCCAGGTATTTGCTACTTCTACGAACTGTCGACTTAATTACTTATCCGTCCACAAGGTTTTTGAATCTTATTGTATTTTTACGGAACAGGAATTGGGAGGAACGACTATCAAAGAAGCACTGCCAGTTAGGTCAATTTGTGGACTAGAGGTAGTTCTGCCCTCGGAAATTGGCGGTACTAGATCCGGATCCGTGTTGATTAGTGGTGCTGACGGTGCGCACACAATTGCCTCGACAACAGCGGCTACGTCAGTGGTGTCGTTGTCCTGTTCTCAGCCGCAGCACTTTGAACATCCCATCCAGAATCTGCCAGATACGGACTCGCATGGACGGTGTTTGGTGGTTCCACCACCTGAATGGGCAACTTGTGAGTTGATTTGTAAGAATCGTACCTTTGCAACATCACTTTCCATCGAATCTCCCTTCTCCTCTTCCTTTAGCCATGACTGTGGATTCCATAGCTCGCACTCATCTCGACCTCGTGGAAATCGCCACTCAAATCGGCTCTGACTGGCCTCGCCTCGTGAAGGCACTCTTCGCTCGCGACTCCTCCGAGTTACCACCCTCGGCGGATCAGTTGATTGATTGGATCTCGCGGCGTTGCGCCTCCGCCGACACTCTGAGCGCGGCCGGACTCACGTACGAGGGGCTGCGATGTGATCGTGACCGTGCTCTCGCCATCCTCCTTGCTTGGACTATTGAAGCTGGTGATGCTGCTACTGGTAAGTTTACCCTCCTTCTTCAAAGTCTGTTATCACCTTCTTTAACGCTGGGGAGAATGTTAGCCCGCAACCTCGGGTGTATCTACAAGCAGGTGTCACATGTCACTGAACCGCCTGTAACTATCTGTTCCCCTGTCTAGGCAACGAATTGGACGTCGTGCTACGACAAATCGGCCGCGAGGATATAGTGAAGAACTGTATGCGTGATATCCGACCGGTGCTGGAGTTGGATGAACGCGAAAAGGTGTGTCCTTTCTCCTGATGGAATTTTGAGTGGTGGTTTATCTCTAAATTCCATTTATTCTTGACCGCACGTCAATTTGATGGTTGAAGCTGTACCCTCTGCCCGTTTTCACTGTTTTTTGTTCTCTTTCAAAAAATAGGCGAATAAGGTTGCGATTGTAAGCTGAATTCGATTAGTGCGTATACATTGAATCTTTTTGATTGCGGTATTCACCACGGAGTAGAGGTGCTCTACTAACCCTTCATTCAGCTACTCTGGATCCACTTATTCATTTCTGGATCCATTCACTCTAAAACCATTGGTCTGCTCATATCCATCCATCCGTTCATCCCGTATCCACCCAACCACCCATCGATCCGCCTGCCCATCCCGTATCCAGCCCTTCGTCCAGCCAGCTATCAGGCGTCCATCCATCAATTCCGTATCTTTCCATTACATATCCATCCAACCATTTGGTATCCATCAATCTATTCAGTACCAATCCATCCTATATCCATCTATCCTGCATCCATCCATTCTATATCCATCTATCCTGTATCCATCCTTCCATTCTATCTCCATCTATCCTGTATCCATCCATCTTTTATCCATGCGTCCATCCATCCTGTGTCCATTCATCCATTTATCCACTTTTTTCTCTAACAAAAATAATTACTTCAGTTTTGATTAACCTACCCCTTGAAGTCATATCGAGAACTAGTCAACTGTTGTTTTCAATCCTCTTTCTTTCCCGATCAGGCGAATGAGCAAATCAATTCAGCCGGTCAAGGTTGGGGCCCTGAAACACCATCGACGCATCAGGAGATGAGGGTCACCTCGTTAAGCAGTGACTTTTCCACGGAGCACCTGGCGTCGGGTCAGCTGGAGTCAATGGGTGATTTGGTGGGTGAACGGGGGCTTCATGCAATGGAATTTTCATTGCCATTGGGGGAGGAGGGCGCGAGTGAGGCGCAGATTACAAGCACATTAGAACCCTCGTCACCGGAGAATGTAGAACCGGTGGAGAGGGCAGAGGTGACGCTGTTGCCAAGAGCGGAGCCGGAGATTTCGGAGCTCTCGACGACGGTGAGTTTGAAAGGCGCTAATCAGTTATCAATCCACATCCAATTTGCTCTTCCATCCTTCCATGTGCTCGCGCAACCATCACCATCAATCTCCTCCACCTGTCCACCTATTTATCCATTCTGGATCCATTTGTTTAAACAACCGACTCACCGCTCTTTTTCTCGTTTCACTTCCACAGGAGCAATCACAATCCTTTGCCGTGACCGATTCTGAAGTTCCACTGTCAAGCGAGCAAGCGGAGGCCCAAACGACCTCAGCGGATATGCCAACAACCCCCGCACTCGATATGACAAGCCGGGAGGATGGTGAGGGTGAGGAGTTAGCTAGTCCTCCTTTGTCAGACCTACCCATGAGTGAGAACTCACATCCCCCTGAGGGTAGTCAGTAGACTTGTGTTGTGCATTCGACACTGGTTCTCCCTCCTTTGCATTACTCTCTCTCCCTCTTTGCTGTTGTCTCTGCTGTTGCTGAAAATCGCGCCATTTTTTGCTCTCGGACAATGATTTTTCACTTTTCCCACTTCTCTCTTATCTACCTACCTAATCAGCCTATCCACCACCTATGTCCAAGCGTTGTTTAACAACCACTGCTTTCTTTTGAGTCGACGTCAGAATTACTGCTTACTGATGAGGCCTCTTCCTGTTCGGTGCGGTGGTGGTCGTTCAAGCGAGGTCCGAACTTGACACCTTGCAGCTTTAAGGGGTGGGCGGGGCGGGTAGGTTCTGCCCCCATGACAGCATGACACGTGGCGGTGGGTGCCAAGTCTGTCCCATTGCCATTTATAATGGTTGACGCCTTCGCCGTGTGTCAACCACGCCAGTTTGGCTCAGTGGAGTGGAGTGGAGACTAGTCCAGCAGTCTAGACATAGTTAATCAACATTACAGCCTTTCAAGAAGGAGGTTGGATAGGTCGCTCAGTTGTTCAGGTTAACGTCCGGACAGCACGTCTAAAGGTCAGTGGGAATCTCAGGTCGAATGTGATGTAAAGGGTTCTGCCACACCATCACGGCTGGCATTCCTGTGAACGAATATTCAGTTCGTAGGAGGTCTGCCTGATGGATGCATGCATGGCTGGGAGATGAATCACCATGCAGGAACGGTGCATTTACCTGCTGGGTGTCCGAGGGGAGGTTCAGCCGTCCTGATTCAGCTTTCTACACCGGAACTGTTTCCCAGGTGTGGAGGCGTATGGAGGGACTGTAACGAGCAAGAAATGCATGACATGAGTAGACTATAGTCTGACATGAGTAACGCCCCATCCTGCTGTTGTGGAGATTGAATTTTCAGACGATTAGGAGATTCCGTCCAACCATCGAGGGTTGTCCTTGATGCATCTATTTTGGCAACTAGGAGGTGATCAGGTGCATTGCAGTGGCCTTAGAGATGGAATTATCATACAACTATTTTCCGTCGGAGTGGGAAGCGCTGAGTTCTACGCCAAGGCTGACCACCCTCCCAGTGATGAATGTCAGGCGTTATCGTGGATCCCCTTTCCATAACCCAAAACCATTCGGTAGGGTACGTGCTGCGAAGGACCTTCGTAGAGCCACTTTCTATGCTCATTCGTTCGTCTACTCCAATGCCCCACGCCTCTCTGGCTGGTTTGTCCCAAGCTTCTTGGTATCGGACATTCTCTCGTCGCTTCGGTTCATTGCCGACTCATATGTTCCTATTGTAAGGCTTCAAGGCGTCGGCTATCAACTAGAAAATAGGTTCCATAATGGAAACACTTCTTCGTAACAGAGAGCTCAGAAAATCTACAGACGGATTAGTTGACAAGATGCGGATATAATTAAACTAACAAACTCACAATGGGTTGTTGGACAGGTTGAAAGACAAGTTCCGACTTCGCTAGGTGATTTTAGTCTTAACCTTCATGACGATCTGTCCTGGAGTCTAGGTGGATGGCCCAAGGACATAAATCGCCTAAGTAAACTGAATGTGTGGGACGATTCGATCGAAGCACGATAAACGGGCAGCACTGGATGTTCCAAGTCTCCTTTGAATGCATTTAGAAGGCAAAAATGCCAAAAGTTGGATCGCATCGTGCATTGGGGACACCTAGTATGACAGGCTAAGGTGATGAAATGTAATGATTCAATATGAAGACATTCAGAAGATGGCGGTGACCAATTAAGGAAACCTAGATAATAACTGCTAAAAAGTGAAAAAAAAAAACCTGAATTGAGACAAAGCTAGGCTTGGCAAAACCACTTCTAGACACTTGGCATATTTCGTTTGTCCGTCCGTCCACACAATCATTCATA